CTGGGAAAGCAGGCTGCACCCAAGAAAAGCGGCGAGCCTGATCTTTTTTTCTCCCCCTGGAGTTTTCCTGCCTATCTGAGCTGCACAGGGGCCCAGTGCTTCCCTCCACGGCTGTGGTGCCCCCAGGACTGCTCGAGCCAGGTGCCTGCAGGTGGGGGCCACCTGGGGGGCACTGCCACTGCGGGGGAGAGAAGCACCAGCCCCGCCCCGGCCGCAGCCCAGGGACCATTCTGCCCACTGGCAGCTCGTCCTCCCCTCCCCATCGGAAAGGCAGGTAAGTCAGTAGGGTGTGCACACAATATGGTGGGTTAATCAGCCCTAAATTGAAGCGGTGTTTTTTTTAAATCCACCGCTTCAATTTAGAGCCCCCGTTTTGTCTACACACACATATTTTTTGTTGCTGCTGGGCAAAATACTATTTTTAACACTTCATTAAGTTTGAAAATAACTTTCATGTTTTTCTTTTAAAGCAAAAAAAAAATGGTTCTAGCTGAGTCTTATCTACATCAGATGCTTAATGCACAGTAGACTAATTCTACTGCGCATTAGCACACCGCAGCAAAAACTGTGCTAATGTGCAGTAGAATTAGTCTACTATGCATTAAGCATCGCAAAAAAGATTGTGCCCTGTTTCTACTGTGCATTAGCACTGGCTACTGTGTCTTTATGTAGTACCTCATATTAGAAGTACTAAACTTAATGCACAGTCACAACCACGCATTAATGCACGTGTAGACTTGCAACCCCTCCCCCCCAGTAAAACTTTATTTTAAAAAGAACGGTAACAGTTTGAAAGGGATTTTGGCCAGAAAGATCTCTACTGAATAACTAACCAGGTCTAGTCATTTCCCATTGGAGGACCAAAGTGGAAATTTGGGGATTTTTTTTTTTAAACATAATATTGTTGCCCTGAAGTTGCTAGTTTAGTAATGGAAGGAAGTTCAGGCCTTGTCTTCAGTGAGCTGCATCTGGAGAAGTTATAAAATTGATATCCAAAATCCAGGTGGAAACCAAAGGGAACAGTTCATAAAATAACTGTTTGAGGAAATTAGTAGTTAGGGTGGTGAAAACTGGAACTATTCTTGTCCGAAATTATCCAAGTGGAGGCAACATAATAAAACATTTGACAGTACATAATAAAGCACAATAGCAGAAAAGGAGACATAACTTTTTATTGCCACTCAATTCAGTCTTGAGTGTCAGATGTGATTTCCCCCCCCCCCCCTTTTTTTTCCTTACTGGTTTTGCACTTAGGTTGCAAAATTGAGACAATCTAGGAGCACAAAAATTCATCCCCCCTATCTTGAAGAGTGCCAAACTGAGCAAGGCTATGCTGTGGTTTTGAAAGGCTTGTGATCTTGCCCTACCCTCTTTTGCTTCCTGCAAACATTTTTCCATTAAAATAAAATCTAGCCGCTGGCATTGGGGTGGAATAAGATGTCTTGGGTTGGAATTTTTGTATTCCTCCCATGGCTATAGAAGTACATTAGTTTTGGCACGTTTATTAAATTTGGCATTTCTTCCAGTATGGAAGAAATGTTACTGCTTTGTTTGTCATCAGGGTGTGGAGTTGTTTTATTTTTTCTGTAGCTAGACTAAGTCAACAGATGATTTTAACATTCTTGACTATACAGCACTGATTTTTGTTGTTGTTGTTCTTTTTTTCTTCTCCCCACTATCCCTTCTTTCTGCAGTCACCTTGTGATAATATATTCTTCTCTTTTGTTATTTTTGTGGAGGTTACATCTACATGATGCATGAATTTCTCTTAAAGTACAGTTGCTATCTCACTCTAGTTTGACTTACATTATGATAAATGTTCCTGAAGGCTGGACCAGTGGTTGTTTTTGTTCTTGTGTGGAAGTCATGGTAAGGTTTCTCTTGATCCTTGATGAATGACCAGATGTTATAACCTGTTATTTCTAAATAAAACTTTTTGAGGACTTGGAAGTTTATGGGCCAAAGTAACTAGCTATCCACTTGCCTTATGACTGGATAGGCATACCTTAATTGATAAATACCGCCATTTGTAATTAGGGATAGTTCCAAAAATATCAGCAATTCAGACCCTATGGAAGTAAATGGGGAATTTGACTTTTCACGTTGAGGTTGTATCGTCTTCCTTTATACCCACTTATTGACTGGTGGTATGAAATTTCACTGTGACTGCCGAGTGCCTACAGAATATTTTCATCTCTCTAAAGATGCCTGAGGAGGGGACTTACACAGGGGGTTTTATAACTTTAATTGGCTGTTCGGGGTTTAATATTCTGTACTTTCCTATACCTCCACAAGATCAACAGTAAATGGTTAATAGTCTTTCCATTGTATTACTATTCAGCTTGCAAATGCTGACCAAGTAAGAAGCAAATCCAATGCAGCTGAACACTGGTCTTTAAAACTGAATGGCAAACAGCCAACTGGCTGCCTGTTAGCTCTTCACACTATAATAGGAAAAAGGCCTCCAATGGGAAACTCCCTTTCCTTTTAAGCCCCATGCCAGAAACAAGCAAACTGTACAGACTACATCCTCCTTCCAGTGTTAATTTAGGGTAGAACAAGCCTGTCTTAGGACCACTGTCTTTTTATGATTCCAATGAAGTGGCCAACTGGCAACAAATGGATTCCTCTCATTAGAGGAACCATAAGTGTTCTTAATTACGCTTTCTGAAATTCTGCCCCCCCATAATGAAAAATCAAGTTGGTAAAAGTCATCCCTCTAAGGTAATCAGTAGCACAATAATGTTAATGGCTATCAATTTTAAAGCTGTAGGCGAAGCTGTCATGTGATTGCCTATTGGTTTACAGGTCCTTCCCTCCTGTTAGAGGAGGGGAAAATAAAGGATTGCTTGACAGCGTCTACAGCTTGAAGTAATTTCCTCGTAACAGTTTAAGGGAAAAAACCCAAACTTATTAACATAGCACCCAAGTGCTGGCTATTCAATCCTTCAGATTTATAAGGTGTAGATTTTGGTCGTATACTAGACTTGCCTCTGATGTGTTCATTTATAATGGCCAGTAGCCAACTAGCTGTTGGTGGCCACTTTCTCAATAGCTCAGAAATAGGCAGCAAATTTGTCACACAACTCTTGTTAGCATTTTATACCTGCTGTGGCCATATTCTAGCTTATGGCACTAGGAACTTACAGTCAAATAAGAAGACACACACCAGCAACTTCCCACAGAAGATCAGGTGAACAATACAGATTGAATAGTGGTTTCACCTAAATCAGTTTTCCCATTAGGGAGTACTCCCTTTTTTGATTTTAAAGCTTTTCTTGGCTCAAAGAAATTGATTCCTACAGATGTAAACTTCTTGGCATGCCACTTTTACCAAAGTCGGAATATGCAACTATGTTTTCTGGGAGATTTTTGCTCCATCTAGTCTTAACAAGCCAGCAGGTCATGAGAGAAGTACGGGAACCCAAAATGTTGGCTTCCCGATGGCGAACATTACAGTTCTGATACAACGCCTACTGAAGGCAACGGGAGCCGAATGTAGCCATAGATGGGCAGCTGCTTTCTATACTACCAAAGTTTCTAAGTAGCATTTGGGGGTAGCCCTGCATGGAGCATGTTATGATCTGATATAGCAAGGGTAAATGTGCCAAGACCCACATAGAGAGGAATGACTCGGCTCAGAGAAATGCAGGATGGGAAAAAGCTTTTGGCTGGTATTGTGGTTGTCAGGATTCAGGAACAGCTGAAAAGCCAAAAGCTGGCCTCAATAATAAGTAGTAGTGTGAATAAAATTCCCTCCTACTAAATCTTTGTATGCTGCCCCCACACATAGATGCATACAAACTCATTATTTTCCTTCTATTTAGAATGGAAAACAGACTAATTATTACAGCATGAATACTGAGCCTTTTGTAGCAGTAAATAGTACATTCTCAGTTGTGTCGAGAGGTGAAACCCCAGTTCTGTTTCCTTTTAACTACTGATCTATCATCTAGTCGAGAACATACTTCACTTTCTCTAATCGCTCTTGTAAAGTTAAAGATCAAGGCAGAGTTCTCAGTTTGAGTGGGTGAATTGTCATCATGTTAAATGTTATACTTTGTGGATATTACTCTTGGACAAAGAACTTTCTGAAGGGAAAAAATCTCTCTGAAGCCAAAAAACATATGGCTCAGGCTTTTTCTTTCAGTAGGGAAGGGGTTTCAGAAGGAAATCTTTGCTTCTGATTTAAAGGATTTTTAATTTTTAGATAAGCTTCCATGATTACCCTAATCTATTAGTGTTTGGGAATCTTGAATATGTTCCTGTTTCTTCTTTTTTCCCTTACCTACATTACTGCATGATTCAAAAATTTGGGGAAGGGCAGAAGAATGTGCCAAGTGGAACGGATAGTAGCCTAGAATGCAGAGCCAGGTTTTAAATCCCAGCTTGGCTATTGCCTTCCTAAATGACCTTGGACAAGTTGTTTCTTCCTTCTGTACTTTAGATACTCCCTCTATAACATGGAATGGCACTTCATAAAGCACTTGGCACTCTACACCTGTGAATGTCTATTGATTATGTAGTCACTGTAACATAGCACTTTCTGCTCCTGAATGCCAACAATATGCATGAGTTGAGAGAAAATACTAATTTGATGGTACCTGGTACTATTAAGGGGAGTGGAATATTAAGAGGTGGTGAAGAGCAGGTGGAAATCAAGCTTTAGACGTGTCTTCACAACTCATTCAAACGTCAGCATGAAACTGAAAAGAAACCTGAGCAGCTCTGATGTTCTGAAACCTCAAAGATTATCTGGAAGACAGCCAATCTAGTTCTGATTTTTCCATCAGAACAAGTTCATCCATTTAGCTCTAAAATTAAGCAAAGATCATTTTGGAGTGTCAAAGTAGAGCATACATTTGAACAATAGATCAGTAGTTCTAAGCAGGGGAGCATCTTGTTGGAGAGCAGATGCAGACAAAGAGCTAATGCTTCTGCATATTAAAGCACTGATCATTGCCTTGATAATACCCTTGTACTCCTTTTCCCTCACTCAGGCTATACAGTACATGGAACTGATTCCAAAGAAGATGCAGCCGATAGCAGGCACAGAAGGAGCATATTACCGTCGTAGACAGTTGATGAGACAGCTTCCTATTTATGACCAGGATCCTTCTCACTGTCGTGGCCTTGCTGAAAATGAGATAAAGCTGATGGAAGACTTTGTAAAGAAATATAAAAATGATGCTCTGGGAGTTGGTGAAGTTGCACTTCCTGGCCAAGGTGGCAGTGCCAAAGAGGAAGGGAAGCATCAAGACAAAAATGCGGGTACAAGTAAGCCATCTGTTTCAACCAATGGAGCCCTCAGTGGTCCACCAGCAGAAGCAGAATATGTAAGTAGACTTCTGTGACACTAGAGACTATGTGCTGTAAGTGTTCCCATTGCCTAAACTTGTGATTTTTTTTTTTCCAAACAATGTGCCATGGCACCCTGGGCTGCCACAAGATCCTTTTAAGGGTGCCACAGGATTCCATGCAATATTAGCACTGTTAGGTGTGCAAATCCCTACAAATGATTCACAAGATAAACCTAGAGATTTTAAATGGGAATATATAGTGTCAAAAAATTGCGGTCAGCCTGAGTTCTTTGCAAAATACTAATTGCTCTATTGTTTTTCCATAATCAAAAAATAAGTGAAAGCTAAGAGCTGGCATTTTTCCAAGTCTAATGAGAGGCACCTTGAGTCTTAGCAAGGCTGAGAACCACTAGCCTAAGCAATGTTCAAGAACATTCAGTGTCGTCCAAACTTTGGCCATCACTGACTGCTCCTTAATCTTATCTTTAAATCAAAAGATGATTACCTTAATGTGCACACAATAACCTTAATATCATTGACTGTGGTTCCCAGAAACTTCAAAGGAAGTTCCCTGGTGACTTTGAAAATTAAGCACAAATTACCTTGGGTTGGGCATGAGAAAACACGGTACCCAAAACCAGTGACTGTATGTTACTACATCCAGGAGTATCTGAATAAGTCAACTGTTTCCAAGCCAAGTGAAAGTGAGCGTTGTAAATTACCCTAGGCAATATGTTAACTGTGACATTACAAAGGTGGGGCTCTATGTTTGAATTTGCACAAGCAATTGTAGATATTTCAAGGGCTTATCATTCAATAACTATGGAATGCATTGTCTAGACGTGCAAAACTGGGACTGAAATATGCACTTCCAAAAGAAAGGCTACAGATGCTTTCTTAATTTCTTGTGTTTAGAGGACATAAATCTAACTGACCACAACCTTTTAAAAGGGGTCTTGAGTGGTCAATGTGATCATTCCAAGAAATGCCTATCATCAAATATATTTGCTGAACTGGAAACTTTTCATCCTGGCACTTGCCAGGATAACTTGCAATGATTGATTTATCTTTTCTTCTTTATTTTTAATACAGAAAGACTGATGTAAGTGAATTTTTTTAAGGCAGCGTTTCCTTGAAATAATTATACCGGGTTGGGATGTCAAGTGCAGCCACTCTTCATTCCATATTGGGTAATGAGGACTCTTTTCCCCACTTGTATGTGACGAGCCTTCAGAGTGTAGGGGAACAGGAGGGTTTTTTTGAATATTTTAACAAAACCTCAAGCTGGGCAGAGAGTTGCAAACTGAAAAAAAAAAAAATTACCATCTGAAAAAGGAAGGTTTCCATTAAAATCATTTACAGCAGCCATCGTGGCAAAGCGAGTTTATTTAGATTGCTAGTTTATCTTTCCAAGTAAATACATAACTGTGGTGTTATTCTTCTTAGAATTTAAGGCTTTATTTTTCTTCAGGCACCAGCTGAAACTGAAATTGCTTCACAAACAGTTACCAAAGATACGTTTATGCTAACATATCACACTGCTGAACTTGGAGGCTGCCCTGCAAAATTCCACAGCAGCTTTTGCTGTGACAAAGACGTCTTCATGTTTCCCCGCACCCACTTGAAAAGAATCTTTCCTGCAGCAGTTAAGACAGCTGAGGGATGAGAGGATAAGAGCGCAAGAAATAAAGTCTGATTTCCTTGGCCTTGTATAATGATTTACAATTATGCAGCCTGCACAAAGATAGAGTGGTAGCATTTTGCATGCCCTTTGTATAAGTGCCAAGGAAGGAAAATGCAGCCAGATATAGGTCAGAGCTGACTTGGTCAATGCTAAGATTTCTGCTGCTCCAGTTGCTTTCAGGTCAGTTATGCCAGCACTGATGTGACTATGACTGTTACTACTGACTCTCCACTGCTGCGTAGTGCGCTGAACTTGAGTTTCCTGGTTCTTTAATTTCATCCTTTGCTGAAACATATAATAGATTGTTCCCTGCTACTACATCCACTCATATTTCCCTTCATACCCATGTTTCTGGATATATTCTCTATTCCTTATGTCTCCAAAAGGGGCATGGGATGTGGGGAACGAGGGCCTAACTTGGCACCCTGTTTCAGTGGGCATGTGTTTACAGCAGGGGCCTTATACCTGTGTAAACTAGTGAAGAATTGGGTCCGAAAACAGGCATTGCTGGTAGGATGCAAGGCAGGCCTCTGGCTTTACAAGGTTCCCAAATTGCTTGAAATGGTCCAGGACAAATTTTTGTCTTGGTGCCAGGCTCTTCAACCCCATTCAGTCATGCACAATTCCCTGGTCTCTCTTAAACACTAAGAAAAAGATGGGGGCTTTGTACTGGGCTGCAGTTCAAACCCTGTCCTGTTTGTCCTGGCAAACAGATGTATTTTGGTATCTTATTCCTTGAAGAGGCAGGCCAAGAGTACTGCAAAGGGTATTTTGACCCAGCACTTACCTTGCAAATGTTGTTAGCTTAACAAAAACTAGAGACATGAAAAAAATTTAAACCTGGCAGTAAAAGAAGTCTTAGCATGCATGAATTTAAGGGGAATCTGATACAGGTGGAGAAAAGAGTTACCAAGAGGTGTAATAACAAAGATGTATTACAACTAGGAGCAGTCTGAGTTGTTAAGTAGATCACTTCAGATCCAAGGATCACTACAGTAGGAAGCACTGCCATCTTTCTTTCTCTTGCAAACATCTGGATGCACTAACCTGAATACCACACGTCGCTGTGTTAAGCATTAGGCAACTTCATTTCTCCCAGCCTTCACTTCCTTGAGGAGATTCCAGCCCTATCCCCATCAGCTTTATCTGGCTTCAGGGAGGGAGAGTTTTCATGTGAACTTGAAGTATTAGGGCAGTAGTAGCAGTAGCCCATAGGTGTCCTAACCTTGAAGGGGAGGGTAATGATGTTGAAAAAAGGCTCCCATCCTTGATGCTATGATTGCTTAGTTTAAGGAAAGAGGTCTACCTGGGGACTCTAACAGAGGCAGAAAGGTAGAGCAATGACTTTTTTAGAAATTGGGTTCTGCACATTTTAAAAGGAATTTTGGAAAACCCATCGTTCAACGAGTAGAGATTCTGGTCTAATGAACCTAAAGTTTAAAATGAAAAATGCAGAAGCAGAGTTTCAGCCTTGTTCAGACTGATCTCCCAGTTCAGAGACATGGACTCTCAAATCAAGAGACATGATGTAGAAAAGATTCCAGGCCCTGGAACCAGGGCCATGAAGAGACATTCATGTCTAGAAGTGGCAATTTTCAACCATTAGAAATGATCCTGGGAGAGGGAGCAATACAAGTGCTCACAGCCTTCAACTGCCCCCTCTCCCCTTCTCCACATCTTCCTCAGACTGGGGTGATTTTAGTCTGGTGAAAGCATAAGGTCTAGCAATGGGGCAAAGACCCACTTTACTCACTCCTCACACTGGGGAGCCCAATGAGGAATGGGCAGGGAAACAGCAGCGGCTTCTCCTCTGCTCAGCTCGTAGGCTCTAGGAACCGAGTGGACTGAGACATGCGACAAATCCTCCATCCATTCCACACCAGGCACTCTGGGGTGCTTCTCTCCTGTCCTCTCAGTCTATGAGAGGGGCAGGACCAAGTGACCCCTGTGCCTTAGAAATCATAAGAAGTTTGGGTTGGAAGGGACTGCAGGAGGTCATCTAGTCCAACCCCCTGCTCAAAGCAGGACCAGCCCCAACTAGATCATCCCAGCGAAGGCTTTGTCTAGCCAGGTTTTGAAAACCCCCAAGGATGGAGCTTCCACCACCTCTCTGAGTAACCTGTTCCAGTGTTTTACTACCCTCCTAGTGAGAAAATTATTCCTAATATCTAGCCTAAACTTCCCTTGCTGCAACTTCAGATCATTGCTCCTTGTTCTGTTTTCTGCCTCCACTGAGAACAGTCCAGCTCCATCCTTGTTTGAACCCCCTTTCAGGTAGTTGAAGACTGCTATTATTTCTCCTCTCAGTCTCCTCTTCTTCAGAATAAATAAGCCTAGTTCCCTTAGTCTCATCTCAGAAGTCATGTGCCCCAACCCTCTCACCATTGTTGTCACCCTCTGCTGGACTCTTTCCCATAGGCAACGCATGGTGGGGGAGGCATGTGCCCCTCTGAAATAGGCTGCTGGTGATGGCTGCATGAGGTCCCTACCCCCCTGCCACTGACACCACCGGCGGTAGCTGCAGGTGGTCCCTGCTCACCATCACCGTGGGCAGAGGCTGTGGGTGGTCCCTGCTCACCACTCGCCACCATGGTGCCGCACCAGTTGCAGGAAGCACCAGTCTTTCCTGCTCTCTCCTTCTCTAGATTGGTTTATCCCAATCTTGCAAGGCGTAGGGAGCATTTCCCTATGGTTCAATTCCTCTTGGTCCCAGAAGGATTCAATCATTGGGAAAACTCTCTCCCAGGACAGACTTCTACATGTCTGGAAATGAGTTGATTATTCTCCCAGCACAGCCTTTTTTTTTTATTCTGGAAGAAAATGTATGAATGCCTGAACACTCATGCTCTCTTCTGGGACCTGTGATTCTCCCAGTAGAAACATAATGCCTGTATATGGCCCAAATGTTACATAAAAGACATATGAGAGCCATGTTTGTGTTGCCCCAATGAAGTAAGGTTAAACATGCTAATTGCGTATTTAAGTGCTTGTGCTGATGGAACAAAATGTTTTGGCCAATGTAAATCTCCCTAAGAAAGGGACCTGATCTCAAACAATCGGTCACACATTTGTGCCATGGAAAAAAATTCCATAGCTATAACAGGCCTCTTATTAGCCAAACTGGTTCTCTGCCAGGCACAAAACGGAGTCTAACTGACCCACCCAGTGTCAGAAAACCTTCCAGTATTGCAGCCAGAGTGTTGGAATCAAGCAAACCAAAGAGCCATCAATCAAAATTAACTACGGCTCTGAAGTTTGAGGCCAGCGGCCTCATGCATATTCAATGGAAGCACATTAAAAACATCTTCAACTGTAGAAACTTCAGTTATAAAAGAGATGTAAGAATTACTACTACTTATTGGAAATCCTTTCCTTGAAATGAAAAAAAGGATAGGGGCTCTTTGTTATCATTCACATATACCAGGTGGCAGCTAGCAAAGTCCTTTGCTCATACACAGAGAAATGGAGATAAGTGCCATATTAAAAGTCCCACTAAAATGTTAAAAAATGGTGAGGTTTGCCACAAGGAATAATAAGTGGGAATATAAATAGCACAATGTCTCTGATGCCTAGCAAAGACTGTGAATAATTGCCATGTGAAGGAACAGGGAAATAAGAGTTCAGTATTCTTATTGACAAGAAATGTGAGTTTTAACTCAGAGTTTCTTGTATTAATGATCTCTTTTAACACTCAGATCTCTCAAAAGGTAGGGTTATTTATTCTGGAAAAGAAAACACTTGAAGGAAGGATTTGATAACAGTCTGCATATACCTGAAGGACAGGCTGTCCTATAGAGATAGGCTTTTCTCTGTGGTCATAGGAGACCAGACTAGGAACAATGGCCTCAAGCTGCAGCACAGGAAATTTTAGGTTGGAGATTAGGAGGAACTTTCTAACTATGAGAGTGCTAAGCCTTGCAACAGGCTACCTAGAGAAGTGCTGGAGTCTCCATCCCTGGACATTTTCAGAAGCAGTTTGGACAGACACGTGCGTGGAATGATTTAGTCAGGGACAATCCTACGCTGAGCAAGAGACTGGAGTAGATGATATTTGGAGCTGTAATAAGATGCAGTAACCACACACACTATCTCCAACTAGTGCTTGCGCATCCCTTAGAAACATTTTGGAACTATTCTGGATGATAGGGTTATGCAAATTCAGCCCTGGAGTCTTCTAATTCCCTCTTTCCATTCCTCCATGGGAGGCTAGGCCAGGCCAGGCCTACCTGTTAAGATGCATGGATGTGCATTTCTTCCTCTCTGTATCCTCTTGCTGGTAAAAGAGGGGCTGGAGGCATAGCAAAACATCTGAACCCTAATGCACCACAACTGTGTTTCTAATCGTGCATATACAGAACTCCTTTAGGAAGGCTCAGAACTGGGGAACAGGGAGATGGCTAATCTGTTATTGTTTAAACTCTATGGAGGAAAACTATGGGATTTTTTTCCCCCCTTACATGGTTTTTCCTCTACATGTTGACCTGAATTCAAAACACAAATGAAATTGCTGTTTGTTTACAATGCGCACGGAAAAGATTGAATTACCTTCCTAGTTTCTGGGCCATTGAGAGTGCCTGCAATTCAAAACTTGTTGAAATCGTTAGCAAGAGGATTAATCTGGCAGAGTAATTTTAAATTGCAACCCATGAGACACACAAGTTGCTTAAACAGTACATCTTGTTTTGATAAAACTTTAACGAGAGTTCTTCAAAGACTACTGGTAAAAGTCTAGCCTTGCAGCCAGAAGCTTTTCTGGAAGAGACTCCAGCTACTACTCAAACACTTATTTTGATGACTTCGAAACAAAAACACTGACAAAGTGCAGACTCAGCAGCTATGAGGCCGATTCCAACTATCCAAAACTGTAAAACGGGAGCGTAAAAGGCAACTGGAAGCCACTAAGTCTGTTTATCAACTTAAGAGAAAGAGGTGTTTAAATATATTTTAAAACATCTTCAGGATTTTGCATTATGGGCTAAAGGAAGGGATAAACCCAACTGGTTCTTTTTCTAGTGTAAGCTCTCACTCTTTGGATACCTGGAGTCTGATTCTTTTTTCTTTAACCCAGGTATAAATTAAGGATAACATTAAAATCTGTGGAACTACTCAGTCTTAAACCAATGGGCATTAAAGAAATGATGGAGTGATGTCCATTTCACCCTGATAATAGCATGAGAACTCTAGGTGGTCAACAGGCTTCAAGGAGATTACAATTATACCTACTTTCATTAGCTACAATAGTACCATGTACATGATACATTAGCTACAATGGGACATGATCCGGGTCTGGTCTACATTATAGTTTAGCCAGGAGAAGTTAGGTGGTGCTGGCAAAAATAAGAGTGTCCTCAAACTTGCAACTCCCCATAGTATCAAACACCCTTTCCATTAGCACAACACCAGAAGGTTTCTGCCAGCAGTTGGCTAAAAACATGCGTAGATGCACATGTACTTTCTGCTGGATGCCATATCCTCACTAATAGCTAGGGTGTCCCATGGTGCTGTACATCCTGCTACCATAGATGCTGTAATGAAGCCACTGGAAGACCCACAGATATACATGCACTCTCCATGCATGCATTGCAGCTCCAAAGACTTGGGCTTCCCTATGGTGGCTTCTGTCTCCCAGCAGAAGGCTTCTGAGGTTTACAAGCCCCTGAACTTCTTTTAGACTGGCCTAAGTGTGAAAAACTGCTCATTTAACATAGTGTCTCTTGCTCCTTGCTTACTTCCTCTTTCAGACAGAATGCAAAGATTGACTGATGCTCTTTTGTTCAGTTCTTCCATCAGTTTTCTCAGATGTGGCAAAAATAACCTAAATCATACAGCTAATGCAATGCTAGAACTAAATGTTTTACATGAGAATGTGTTATTTACCCTACTGCTACATTATCTGTGACAAAAACTGTTTAACTTTCTAACAACTCTCCTCTAGACTATTTACTTGACTATCTACTCCTCTAGGCTAAATAAGAACGGAGAATTCATGAGAAGCCATATATATGGATTTTGTCTAAAACATGTTAACTATCTTCAATCATTAATGTTCCTTGTTTTGACAACAGTTTTGATAGACACATGATGACCAAAAAGTGTCCCGATTCAGTGGAGGTCATATCTTGGATTATGAATTGGCTGAATATTTCCCTCCCCTCGTCCCAAAAACACTTAATTTATTCTCCCTTCTAGTGCTGTGAAATCTGCAAACAGGTGATGCCTGCAAATTGCCCTGTGGTGTATGCTGACAGAGCAGGCTACAGCCACCAATGGCACCCAGCATGTTTCATGTGCTGCAAGTGCTCAGACCCTCTGGTTGACCTGATCTACTTCTGGAAAAATGGTGCAGTGTGGTGCGGCCGTCACTACTGTGAGAGCATAAGGCCACGTTGTGCAGCCTGTGATGAGGTAAGGCCTAGAATGGTTAAGGACATAAGTCCGTTCTGCTATTTTCTGCCCTTTGCTAGGCACAGAGAGAGCATCATAGTTTATTACTTATCTGTAACCATCTTCCTCCAACTCCATATACCAGGGAACCCTTGGTTCACATAGGCATCCTGCTCTTCTCTGGAGTTTCCTGATTGAGACTATGGGACCTTGCCCACCATCTGTCTGCCAAATGGTGTGAATTCCAACTTGTTTTCTGCTTTCCATTGGTGCTGGAAACACATAGGACAAGCAAGTTGGCTATTGAGTTAGCAGTGTAAGGCTGAATAAGTCTAGTGTTCAGGTTCAGTGGTGGAGAGGTGATGAGAGCTGACTATTCGATTTCATGCCAACAAAGGCCTGATTTTGCTAGACTCTGTCATATTGGGCCTAAATTGCTTCACAAAGGGATGGATTCAGGTTCTGATCCAAAGATTTTTGTTTTAAATATGAAATAGTTCATGCCCAAGAGCCCACTCCACAGCCGTGTAACTGTTCAGAAGCTCTGCCAAAAACATAGCAAACTGATTATTGAAAATATATTGTTTTAAAATGCTTAGGCACTTCAATGTACTCAGGGCTATGTAGTCCCGCATACTGATGGTTGACTTTATAATTGTAGTCTCCTATATCTCCTAAAAAGAGGCTAAGGATTAAAAGTCTTCAGAGAAAAGCTCTGATTTGAGATTGCCTGTTTTCTGTGCTCCACCTGGATGTTGAAGCCATTCAGATCTGCACTAAAGAATGAGTTTTGTAGTAGAAGAGCTATGTAACTAAAGCAGATAGATGTGGTATTGTTGCCTGTAGTAATCGGGGACCTAGGCTTACAAAAGGATGTAGGTGCCCGCGTGGACTATTTTGATCCGCTGAATCCCACTTGGCTGTTGCCTCATCCTAGGAGGTTCTAAAGTCCTTCCATGCCTCAGTTCCAACATCCAGCACCTCAAGTTCTGCTTCTGGCCAAGACCACGAGCATTAGGGCTGTGTGAAGCTTCAGTTGCTGATTCAATTTGGCAAGGATTCGACCCAAGTTGGCGGCCAAATTTCTGAGTCAAATCAGGAGACCCTTTAATTTCTCCAAATCAGATCGGAACGCTCCAGATCAATTTGGAGAGATTCAACGATCGGACATAGACACAGTTCTAAGTATTTTTTCTACGTACCAGGTGGCTTATGAATGCTGAGATGCTGGGGCGGATGGAGCGTCCCACAGGAGCATGGGGGGGTCCCCAGCGCACTCAGCAGTGGCCCTGGAAGTGAACAAGAAGCACATCCAGTCCACTTCCGGATCTGCCGGGGAGTGCACCAAGGACCCCCACCCTCCACGTGCCCCACTCCCCAGCTCAGCGACTGGTGCCTCCTGGGTCTGGGGGGGCACCCATGGTCCCTCTGTGGCCAATCACTGAGCCAGGGCACACTGAGCAGCAGACCCAGAAGTGGATCGAAAGTACTTCCGGTCAACTTTCAGGTCCACTGCCGAGCATGGAGGCCCCCCCCCCCCCCCCAC